TTCACAGAGAAATTATCACTTTTAAGATTTACTCAAAAGTGTGGTGATTACTTTTTTTGTAATTTTATTTGGCTATACATGAAAAAGCACTATTTATTCACCAACTCGTAACTTGATGAAGCAGAAGGATAACCAAGTGGGGAAATTCTACTAGGATCAAGACTGGCTTCAAGTCTGTGGTAAGGATAGAGCAAGCCTTTCTGCTTATCATTATTCCAGGAACAGCTGCTGCTGAAAAAGCTCCAGATTATGTTTCAGAATTGGAAAAATCATTTAGTCGTGCTCTTTGAGCAGGACTGATGTACCATTTATGTTTAGTATGCAGAGTTAAATCTGCTTCAAGACCTTTTCCGAAGGGAAGGCATCACTATATCACTTGGGAAAAATAAGATTGTAGAGAATAAAATCTTCTGCATTTACAGGTAGACTGCTTTTGTATCAACCCACTATTTGGTAAAAGGAATAAATAGATAATCTAGAATTTTTTAATTTTAATTCTTTCAAGTACTTTCTTAAGTTTTCTGTGAATTGTGCACTATTTAATGAGATTTTGTAAAAACATAATCACAAGATTTACGTTACTCTACACTTTGAAAAGTACCTAGAAGTTACTCAACAATACAACAGTCCATCAAAATTCACTGCCCTAATATATTTGCAAAAAAAAAGAGCACTTTTGGAAATCTCAGACAGGTGCTGTCATTAAAGTTACCACCTGAATATGCTACAATATGTGCAGAGACATTCCTTTCTATACAGCTATTTTGGTTACCATTACCATACAGCCATCATATCCCTTGCCCTCTCTTCACAACTCTAAGCAATTAGACAAATGCAAAAACACTAAAATTGTGTTGGTTATTGAGAGAGTAACTAACAAACTTATTTCCTTTTTTTCTCTAATTTATTTCTCCCTATTAACATCATGTTCATTACCGAGTTCATGTCTGAACACTTAGACCAATTGTGCATTCTACCCTGCTCCCTCATTTTCCTGATTGTTGCAGTTTTCTTGTGCTGCTTTGCCAGTTCACTATCAAATACCCTTAGAAGTACAAGCTCTTGAAAACTTCACGATAGTGTTCATCAATATGCACAATATAATTTATCTCCCATAACTATTGCCACATACTTCAGCTGGGCTCACATACTTCACATTGATTTATCACAGCTACTTTGAAGTCAGGAACCCACAACATATTTAGTTAGATGTGGGACTTGAGGGCTATGATATTTTAGAGAAGCAACCAAGAAGAGTAGCTTCAAAATAAACATCTATATAAGATCTAACCCTGCACACTTCAAAGTCATGGGAAAGATTTTTATCAGTTTCACTGGTTTGTTATCCAAGACCAGTATCTGGTTTCAGTCCTTTTACTCTGCTCTTCCTCTCTACTCAGCACCCTGCACAGGCTGTCATATCCTACCTCCTAATGCTTCATGGAACTGAATGCAGAACAAAGGCACCCAAAATGCCAAACAAAAAGAGAGGGTTTGCAAAATTAAATTTAGCAGCAGCTACAAAGTTCAGAAATCAGCCATATTTCCAAAAAGTCCCCAGGAGCATAAAACTTTAAAATCTTTGTCTAAAGAATGTTCTGAATCCAAAGCTATGTTACAAGACAGGCATACTCCTGAAAATGCTGAGTGTATTGCAGTGGAAAATTGTAATTCAGGTGAGCTTTATTCTTTGCTTTAACCTCAGGGAAAAAGAAAAAAAATGCCACTTTATTGAACTTTAAAATAAGATAAGACAATATTTAGACATTTTATGAAGAGAATGCTTTCCAGAGTATAATGGGCATAGGATGTTGCAGGGTAACTACCACAACAAAATACAAAACACTAGGAAGAATTTTAACATCATTATTTCAAAATTTAGTTACCAGAACTTCAAACATTGAACAGTAGCATTTAGATATAATGTCCCTAAATAAAACTCATTTATTAGGCAGCACCCAAATATTATTTAAAATATTTTGTTTTAGTTATTGAAGTTCCATTTCTGAATGATATTTATTGACCAACAAGTAAAAAGAGACTGAAACTAAAATTATGAGATGTTACAATTTTTTAATATATTCAAACCTATTTGTATATCAGCTGATATAAGCAAATGTCTATTTGCATATATATGTATAAGTATGCTACTTAACTAATATAATAATATTGATTATACAACAAATATGAACAAAATTATAGGCATAAGCCATTCTTTCATGGCTAGAGACCAGCTTTATACATCATTAATTGTTAGATTTGCCTTCCAAATTCTAAATGTCAAATACCAGCCTAATGAAGCTGAAATGTCTTTACAGAACCGTAAGACTTGGTTACCCAAGCCAGGCACACATCATAGCTGTGGCGCTTGCTTGCAGCAAATTCCTCTCTCATCCCTGCTTACCATGCTCTGGGTCATCTCAGAGAGAGATCTTGGAAGTCCCTGATTAGCTAAAGCGAATGCCAAGTCTTTAATTAGACAAAATCCCTTAAAGGATAGTGTCAGTCAAGCAGTATCGCTGGCCTGCCAGCAGCAGTGGTATTCCCCAGGGGCACAGGCCAGGCTGCAGATCCCTTCCAGCCCTGCCAGTAACCAGGTGAACAGCACGGGGTCATCTCCACTGCCTGCCCTTGCCAGGGGAATTTTAACTGGTTGGCACACACATATATCCTTCCCAGCTCAATTGTCCATCAGCAAGAGTTGTCTGCTGTACATTTGTACAAACAAACAGCACACTGACTGGGGTTGGTAGAGCAAGGAAGTGTTGGTATGGGAATGTTGATGTTCCAGTAAGAAGGATAACTGCTAAGAATTTCATTGACTGTTCAGTCACTAAAGGTGGACTCCTCTAATGCAAATGTGTTATGCTTAAATACTTATTACTATTTAAGGATCACTAAGAATCACCTTTATACAATTGCCTGTGTTGCCAATATCCCTGACTTCTGACTCTGGACAAAACCAAGAGGTTTATGCTGCTACTCCTATTTGTTACCTGAGCAGCAGCAGGAGCCAGTGTATAAGATCCTTCACAGGGCTGCAATGACTCAATCAATAACACTGCAGAACAAATCACAGAACATAAATGCCTACTAGAAACAGCCCAATGCAAAACACAAACACTGAGTGAACAGAGATCCATCCAGCACAAGCCCAAACAAGTCTGAAAATGCCTTTACTTTGTTTTTACACTTCTGCCTGCTGGGGCACATTTATCACTGAAAGCAACTTCTCCTGAAGCACTGCTCATCTAATTTGCAGTCAGTGCCTGTAGCACCTTCCTTCCTCTCCTACGCTACACCAGTGTGGAAGTTTGTTATTGCTGGAACACTGCAACTACTGGCTCTGCCCAAATACTACAGCCACATCACCTATAAAATGTAAATAGAAATGCACAGAAAAGTTAAATCCACTCTTAACAATTATTATACCATGGTGATTCCCCCCAACAGAGAATGAGGCCTTTGTTCCATGCCAACATTTAGCAATTTCTGCAGAAATAGTCTATGCAGAAAAAAAACCCATGACTTACTCAAGAAATTTTTTTGTAATGCCGTAACTATCTAATTTTTTAAAAGACATACAGATAAAAATACATAGAAAAAAATTAAGGTATTCTAAAAATGGTTGTATCAAGTAGAACTGCGTCTGTCCCAAAGGGCACAGTTTTAAGGCATCAGCTTTTCAGTCAGTGTAGTAGCAGCAGAACACACAAGCTGAGTGTAACCCAGTTCCAAGGACAAGGCCAGGAAAGAGGGTCCCAAAATACAAGGGGCAGAAACAGAACTTGCAGTCACATCACTGATGCCATCCTGTTTGCTGTGTTTGGGGTTTCTGAAGGACATTTGTTTGTAGACTATTTAAATTCTCCAAATAGTGGAGTCTAATTGATATTTGTACAATATTCTGCTTACAGTTATCTATATTTCAGCCTCACCTTTACACTTTTTTGCAACAGATGTTATGAAAGTTTTTATACCAGAGTAAATTTAACAAATACTGAGTAATGCTGAGTTAAAGTTTCTCAGTGTATGGCTACACAATGTCAGATAAATATTCGCAGGTCACATGGATATAAAAATCATAACAAATTTGACAGTTTCAGTTGAGAATGTAGAAGGCACATATCCAATATTTCAAAAGCTACACTATTTGTGACTACACAGGAGCAGGGAATAATCACAGGGTCATTTCAGTTGGCAAAGACCCTGAGGAGAGTCCAGCCACTAATCAACTAAACCTAATTATCATTCTTATTTCCCACACAGAATTATTGTGTTTAGTGCTTCTACAGCAAATAATTATTTCACTTATTATTTCAAAGGCTTCAAAGCTTTTGCACTGAAAGAAGAGTGAAAAGTAGCCAAGCTTGTTTTGCACAATTTGGGCTGACATATTGTGCTCCTTGACCTCGTACTGCAAATATACCATTATTCAATTAGATTGCTTCACTTGCTGAGAAATCTGAATCATTCTGTACCCTCTAAATGGAGGGAGAAGCTTGAGCTGATAGAACACCTCCCAAAACAATTTTGTTACATACTATAGCAATATATAGTTCCCATATGCCAATTACTTACACTAAGTATAAAATGTCAAATTCAGGTAAAGATTTACATTGCCCCTTCACTACCAAATAATATTGCATTTAGATTAAAGTTTGTTGTAAAGCAATGGTGCTTTTATCTGAACACTGTTTCAAATACTTCAAATTAAATATCTTTTTCCAAAGAAGTAGCATTTCCCAAACTATATCCACAAAGCTGTTGGGCAGATTTTCAGCCTGGTAGTGCAGCACAGCATTAGAGAATTCAATAAACCTTTAGCCATTCCAGCCAATTAAGAAACTAAAATCAGCATTTCAAAAGACATGCAAAGGCACTTCTCCTACCTAGATCTTCATTTTTTTAAACACGTCACATGTTACACTGTATAACACTATATATATAAAACTTACACACAGACATTATAAGTCAAAAAATTCAAAATTTTATCTTACCAAGACTGAATTCCAGCTTTGGCTCATTTGCAATTCTCTGAATACCTTAAAAGGTCAAGAAAAAAATATTAGAGATAATTTGATTTCCATGTCTTGCTTTTTAATACATAGTAAAATTTTCACATGCCTATAACTACTGCTATTGCCTCTGAAATAATATCGTAAGTTAGAAACACATGGTTAAAGCAAACTTGGATGAAATACTTGCCTGAAAAAGGGCTACTTTTGAAGAAAACTTCCTTCTTAATAGAAACTTTCTGTTGCTGGGAAAGGAAACTAGGAAAAAAACCCCAGGCTTTCATGAACAGGTTACTTGTAAGATTTTCAGTCACAACAACTGACTACGTGTATGTTGGAAAAACTAATTTTTAAGTAGTCATCACATTAAAAACAAACCCCATGTTTTGTAAAAGTAGGTAAATCAGGTTAATATAGTAAAATGTAAACACATTATTGATCTACAGACAAACTTTAAAGCAATAAACCCAACTTCTTTTTGTTGGAAAATAAATGTATTAAATTTTCTTCTCAAGCAGTAGGGACGGGAACAGTTTAATCCATGGTGAAACTATGTTCTATTGCATATTTTACTGCAGAGGGCAACATTTTCTTGTGCTAAAATAAGGGAGTGAACCACAGAGATGCAACGAGAGAAACATAGGAAGCAAGGAGGGACAGGTGAATAACACTGAGTTGTCCACCTGATGCAGAAAGCAATTGGATGACAGCTCCAGTTTTAATGAACTTGTAAAAATTAAACTATTTCTTCTTAACATTTTTCTACTGTCTCCAGTAAGCATTATTAATTATTGGTCAGTATTGAAGAAATTGGTCAGATGGAAAGGATTGAGTTAGTATATGAACTGGAACAAGATTTTGTTTAAAAAATAATTTTAAGAACTCACAAACAAAAAAATCACCCCAAACTTTTAGCTGTGTCTGCTCCATAAAAACTTGATGCTGCTAAATCTGGATTCACATTATTCTCATTAGTGTAGCTATTCATTCACATCTGTGTGAGAAAAATTACAGCTGCAGAGCTTAAAAAGGTCAAAAAGAAAAATAAAAGTTGGTTGGTTTTTTGTTTTGGATTTATTTTTTTTAATGGAGTGTTAACAAACTTCTGAGGTGAACTCTACAACTAGGCCTGAAACCATGAATACACTGGATACAGAATTGATTAAGTGACCAGGCAACTGAAGTACAGTCTTCTGACTCCAGTGCACCAAATACAACTCATCATCTGGCTACTTGTACTCAAATCCCCGGAGTGCTTTTACATCACATAGAACAAGTCTGTGATAGTTTAAGTATCACTAAAGGTTTATACATTTATCAAAGTTATCAGACTATATTTCAAACAGTAGTCCATATGCTCATACAGGACATAAAAGAGAAAAAAAATACTTTAGGTCTTATGAAGAAAATAGGTTAGAGAAAAAAAACTCAGAAACCACACATTTGTTCCCCTGAAGGTTATGTGTATAAACCAAAATATATCAGGGAAAAAGATTTAAAGACAATTTTCATCAGTTTATTTCCTCTAGACTGCACTTTGTCAAACAAGAAGCTGAACAGTATTTTGTACCCTGCTTGTGACACTATCCGAACTGCCACAGAGACTGGGCTGCCTTTATTGTACCCCTCCACAAAATGAGTACGTGCACTTACTTGTAAACTGGAGCTCTCCTAGACTGTCTAACTGGGATGAAGGGAGAAACTGTCGTGCTTCATCTGATGATCTCTCCTCTTTGATTTCCATGATCAGCCTCCGGAGCTGCTGAATTTTATTCCACAAACAATCTGAGTTCACCTCTCCCAGTGCCAGAGCCCAAGATTCACAGTCTGGCTTTGATGTGGCTTCAAGGTAAAGATCCGGTTCTCCACTCTGAAACTCTGCACTCAGAAAACATGAAAGCATCTCTTAGGAACTGTAATTGGAAAGGGAGATAATGGAAATACTGGTGTCACAAACAATCAAAACAACCATATACACACTTATCTTCATTGTCACATAGCCATGCAGCCCCATCCACCTCTGGAGTCACACCCCTGCTCCTTCAGACTCGGTGCAGTACTAAACATATCCACAGAGTTCTAAAATCAGTTAACAGATGGCTAAATTGGGTGGCAAAAATCAAACCAAAATGGGAAATCTTTTTCCAGCACAGATTCTACAGCCTAGCAGGCAGCTCTCAGAGCTGCTAACTTGAAAAATAATTTGATTTAACAAGGGCAGCTGACACAGTTCTGTCAGAGAGTAGGATTCACCAGAATGAATTTGTCCATCATCTCTTCTATTAAAAATCTCCATTATGCTCAGTCTCTCATTCATCCTTGCCAGAATAGAGATCAGGAACACATGGAGATAATTTAGCACAATTCCTCTGTGAAGATTCAACAGGTTGTATGTGGGAGCTTCTGACCTCATTACTATCCACGTGTCATTTGCTGTTCTGCCTGGAGTCTAATTGCTTAATGATCAAATTTTCTGAGAGCAGGAGAAAGGGTGGGGGAGGTGAAACTCCCAAGGAATGCAGGTAAGTAGCAAGGGTTGGTCATTTGATTAAAATTAGAACAGGAAGGAAAAAAACCACCCCTTAGGCATTTAAAATTCTGCAGTATAGATGGCTTCACAGAGTCACAAATTCAATGTGACATTTAGTGCAACACACACCAAGAAGAGCAAACTGGGAAAGAAAATCAATGCTTCTTTAAAACAAGTTACCAACTAATTTAGAAATGTAAAACTCTGTAAAATACCTGTGCTATTGTATTATCATGGATTGAAGTATTTAATTGGGCATCAAAACAATTCTGAGCTAAATCAGCCATATATAATATCACTGGATGAAACAGAATGCTGAAAGGTTTTCATACTTAGTTTGAAAATCCAAAGAACATAGAAAAGTTCTCTTCCATACAATATGAATTTAAATTCCTTTTACTGCCTTGAGTATCTAACCTTGGGCACTTGCACACATGTTATTCTAAACGTGTTTGCATTTCATAAACTGAGCATCTGCCAGTTACAATTACCTCTGCTTTTATGGTTATGGAGGGGATAAAAGATGAAACCTCAGGTTTGGAAGGCTCTGAAAACTGTACACAAATCCCTGTGGAGGTGGGACAAGATTTTTGTCTGGGCTGGATCTAAGGAAATCTAACTGTGAGGGTGCAGATGTTGCTAAAAATGCTGGGCAACATTTAGTGTATCAGTTGGACCATAGATTTCATAAGGAAAGACTGGAAAGAGAAACAAAGTGGAAACATCTGCTTCAGGGGCAGATAAAAAGCTAATGAGGATTCAAATGCTTGTCTCTAAGCCTGGCTCAGTCAGAAAAAACTTATTATTTTATACTGAAAAAAGTATTCAGTTCTTGAGCGAAGAATATTCAAAATCTTAGAGAGCTGCAGATGTTCATTAGATCCTGTTTTCAGACAAGATCTGTTCTTGAGTAACCAAACCTGACCAAGCTGAGCTCTGCTGTTTCTCAAAGATAACTGAACAGACAGAGAAGATTTAGCTGTAAACCCTCCTGTGGTCTGCTACTGCATGTGAGCCATGAGGGCAGTAACCTTCAGAAAGACCAGTATTTAGAAGAGAAGAGCTGATAACTTTTCTGTTTCTCTGGTAAGGTCTGTACCAGCAGCGTGCTCTACACCCTTCTGTCACTGACATCTACGAGTCAGAAGTCTGTCATATTTCATAGTTGGAGCTTCTAGTGGAAAACTGAAAGGAAAGGCATGTAATCAACTAGCATAAAGATCAAAATTAACTAATTCACTTTAATTTTAAAAAAAACCATAAAATACAACAAAAAAAAAAACCCAACCAAAATCAAACAAAACAAACAAAAAGCAAACAACAACAAAAAAACATCCTCCCCAAAAGCCACCAATAAGCACACACACAAAAAACAAACCACAAAATTAATATCTGCTTATACCATTCAACCTTTAAAAGCACAAAAACACAGACAATTTTAATAAAAGCAGTTTGGATATCCACAATACCTTAGTGAAGGAAAAATCATCGGGGAAACAATCAACACTCAACAGCCAAAATACAAATATAAAAAAGATGTTCATTTCTTCCTTGAAATGGAAATAGGAACAGTAATCTTGCCTTGAAATGTCCTACCAAAGCTAGATAAAAAACATCTGGTTTGGGAGGAAATCAATGTTTTTCAATTGAAATCATGCTATTTATATTTACTTCTTAGCTGTAAAAATCAGGCTGCCACACTCAAAAGGCATACTGAATCATCATTAATATGCATGGGACCAGAAATGGAGAGTGAAATGCAGAAGGAGTGGGCATAATTCACTGTATTCTGATCTAACAGGTGCCAATTTTGGGATGTGGAAATTCATTCTAAACTATCACTTCAAAACACTAGTCTGCTATATTTAGATCCTTGGAGTACTTTGACAGCTAAGTTAAATTCTGAAAAGCATATGAAAATACCTGAAAAATGCGCATCATTGCAAATGTAAAAAGTTTCATTCTGCAGATCCAACAGTAGGTAATTACCTATTTTCCATTCTGTTTCAATGTGCGTTATCACAACATGGTTTGTGTTGGAAGGGACCTTGAAGATCATTTAGTCCAATCCCCCTGCCCCTGCACAGGAACACCTGATAGACCAGGTTGATGAAAGCCCCATCCAACCTGCCCTTGAGCACTGCCAGGATGGGACATCCACAACTTCTCTGGGCAGCCTGTGCCTTTCCCTCACCATCCTCACAGTGAAAAATTCCTTCTTAATATTTAATCTAAACTTGTTCATTTTTAGTTTATACCTACCCCCCTTGTCCTATCAGTCCCTGGCCTTGTAAACAGTCCCTCTCCAGCTCTTCTGTAGATCCCCCTTTAGGTATTGGAAGGTTTATGTACCAAAAGTCATCTTGCCAGAGGAAACACAACATGAAAAATAAACATTGGTAAAAAGGTCTGTTCCAACGAAGGCATGCACAGGTTTATTTATGTAATAAAGATCATAATCTCTTTGCTCTTCTCCTTCAAATAAATCAGCTGCATACAGTACTCCCTAACAAGCTCAGTCATTTAATTCCAAATATCAGTAGGGGGGAAAAAATTTATATGAATCCTTCCCAAAATGAAACTAATAGACACAAAAATGTAATGAAGGCCTCAAATGAATGGCAGACATATCGGAGGAGTCACATAATTAAATAAACACTTGTTACTCCATGTTTTATTATGATATTAACATTTAAATATATAATAGATATATTAATTCATAAAAATATAAATAATAAACCTAAATGCAATAGTATTTCATAGGTGGACAAAAGCACTTCATACTTTACTGCTAAGAAGTTATCATAGAACACAAGCACTATTTGCTATACTGTTACTGCTGACAGGAGTTAATATGAGTAGTTTTGGAAAAAAAAAACAACTATCTTTTGTAAACATTTACTGCTGACCTCAACAACAACAGAGCCTTCTCTAGTTTGCACTCCTGGTTTTACTGTTGTGATATCATTTTTGAACAGGATGACATGTAAGATTTAAGAACATACAATACTAAGAAAATTTTCTATCTACTTCTTAATCTGCAATGTAACAACAGCAGAACAATAATCCTCTTCTTCATCTGGACATCCCCAATGGGGTTTCAAATTCATAAACCCAGGGGGAACCCTTCAAAAAATTAAACACAATGGTTTTTCTTGCAGAACAAACTTTGAACTTATTAGTCCTAAACTGAAAGGAAAATTATATATTGTTGCATCTTGATCCTCTTCATTTCAGTATCAGAGACACCACAGAAGGCAAGACCTGAGGATGCAGATAATGGAAAGCAAACAGGTCTATGCACAGAACCTTTTCTGGTCTGTTCACCAGCAACTCTTTGCTGAAGCATGGTCTCAATGAGACTTTCTCCCACAGAAGTCAGCATAGAAAGTTTTTGTCCCACAGCACTTGTGCCACTCAAATAATGCAACACCCCTGCTCAAAATGACTGCTGTCAGCATATACAGCTAACACATTCCCAGTGGCACTGGAAAGCCTTTTCTATTCTAACCCAACAGCTTAAAATTAGAAATGTCATTTGATGTTAGTTTCTTCATCCTCAGGAAACTTTTCCGTCTTTACATTATTTCATAATAAAATTTGTTTTTCCCAAGTTTTTCAATTTAACAATAGCAATTGCCTCTTTTCCCTCTAAATACTTATATAATTCAGTTGTTTTAATAAGAAAAACAAACTTCTTGCTAAAAATGTCTGAGTGACATTTCTCTGAATTTTTAAGAGTATTTTTATTGCAATTTTAATCACAATCTTTTACACAGAAACTTTGGTTTGTGTTAATTCACAAAAAAACTTCAGGCAGCTATTGAACCTGACTCTTGTCTTCAAAAGACTCCAGTTTAATGGAAAGGCTTTCAAAATAAAAAACATAATAAAATAAAACAAATTTCCACTTTGGTTTTACATCTTATTTGCTTGCTATTAACTTTCTATATTTTTAAAAATATTTTATTGGTTTATTTTAATAAACAGGTAAAAGTGACAGGAAGACTGATATTCTTTGGCTTGCTTTATTTTCCTTCATGAGAGCTTAAGCATAACACCATGTTGAACAAGACAAAGAATAAATTACTGGGATAATTCAAATTAATAAAATGTACAAAGCCCATGGTCAACATCTGCAGTGACAGCCTTGACTTTTTTGGAGGATCACTATTTCTCCGGCTATGCTAATAAGCAAAGTAAGAGTTCAAGCAGACTAAAGGTTGTCTGTATCTTTTCAGGCAGCAGCAAAAAAGTAATTCTCAGCTCAACTGCTAGCTCAGCAGAGGAAAATGGTTAAGAGTATCAATGAGTCACTGACACTCTAAAATATAAAGCACCATCACAGCCAACCACCATATGCTGTAACAAAAGTAGAAAGGAAGCTTTGATACGTAAATTATATCCACAGGATATTTCTAATACAGATATCAGAGGCTTTTAATTCACAAAGCTGTCTGAATTCTATATGCTGATGCATTTCATGTTCAAATTAGTACTGATGAAATCATCCTGTGATTACTCATGATGCTATGTTAATCTTTCTTTGGGAGTTATATTTTCAATCAAAGAAAAAGAATTTAATTAAAATTTTTTATCTTCAGTGATTTTTTTTTTTAAATTTTGCAATGCTGGAATAAACTTATATAAGTTACTATTATAAGCTCCATTTAAGTCCCTATAGAACCTCACCAAGAGTGTATTTGAAATTAATATAGCATGATGCCCCAGGCTGATTAGTGCAGTACAACACTGCATTTCTTTTAATACCTTTCAGCTTCCACATGTCACACTATTTCTACCCTTTCATTAAATACCACACTTAAATTGGAAGAAATGCAAACCACACAAATATTTGAATACCACAACGGTATCTCAAGATCCCTGAACAAATACACTGCAGCATTCACTGAAAGTTCAAGGGTGGCCCTTACAAAGCAGTGGACTACTACTTCTGAATGGAAGCAGTTCACATCTCTAACTGGACCATCTTCAAAAAGGCAGGATTCAGAGGTCTTCTTTCTCTGCCGAGGTCTGCAAGAGAAACCTTGCATATGCCTCACTCATTCCACCTCTAAAATAGGGAGTGATCCTGGCCTGCCTGTCCAAACCACCACTAATGAAACAAAAGTCTTCAAGTTTAAGTGGTTTGTATACTAAAAATGTCAAAAGGGAATGCTTGCTGTCTTAGGTGTATTCCTACATACACGCCCCTTTTTTATTATCTTCCTCATTTACTGCAATATTGTTTAGATGACTGACCTTGTATGAAAAGCTGTTTTCTTCCTTTGCTCCCTCCCACCCTCTCACCAGCCCTACCTGGATGTTACAGCTCTTACCTCCCTAACTCTCACTAAGGGACCACGCACAATAATCTAATACAGTCTTGAAGGAATCTCTCTTCCTGAATGAGAGAAGAGATTTACAGATCAAGAGAAGGCAGTGCATGTGGTCTCTCACACCTGGTTTCATTTCACTGTGCCTGTGTCTCTTGGGGACATTCCCAGTTTTATGCAGTATACCATCATGTGGAAGAAAGGAGGCAGAGTTGTACACGCATGAGGCTCTGTACAACATAGTGGTCAACTCCAGACTGCTCCTGGGGGCAGTTTGAACATCGAGTCACAGAGCTCTTATTGCCCTATTCCAAGGAAACACGACAGTCACCCAAAGACTACCCCGTCCTGCTAATGGTGACCAGTTCCCATTAAAAGGGCACATAAGCCATCAGCCACATGCAAAGTTCACCTAACAAATCCTTCGCCTTCCTTCCGTGGTCCACTTGGAAACCTTCTGGGTTAGGCTGCTTCAGGAGCACTCCACTTGAAGCCCTGACAGGTTTATTTGCTCTGACTTCTCTTTTTTAAAAAAGAGAGAAGTCTTTTAAAAAAGCTCTCCTTTTTTAGGGCCCACAGTGCCCTGAGGTGATCAGCAGCTTTACAGAATCATTAGATGTTGCATGAACATTTTTCCCTCCATGCTTACTCCACTGCCCTTCATTATGTTCTCTTCCTCAGTATCCCAGACAGCCTCCATTTTTCACTCTTATGACCCCCAGAATCCAATCCACTAGTCAGAGACACATGGAGACAATTGGGCAAAGGCTCTCTCCAATCCCCCTTCACAGTTCCAAACTGAAGCTTGCAAATTGAAGAAAATGTCCTTTTACCACCACAAGTTAAATCACACCGCCTCCTTTCTTGGAGCTTCTGCTGTGCTGTGGCAGAACTCTCCTCCATTAGTTCCACAAGAAATTTGACATTGTGAGCAAGTATGTCCTCCTATCCTGCTTTCATGTGAATCCTTTGAAGTCCCAGATACACACTATAGCTTTTTTTGGCTCTCAATAGCCAATGGATCTAATCTTGTGACAACACAACTAGCTTTTCATTGTCAAAGCCACTACTGATGAAAGGCCTCTCTTCCTAGTTCCTGAGTTTTGCTTTTGTCCCCTATTTTGTCTTCTGAGTTTTATTCTATCCTACAGTACATGGATTATAATTTCACTTCTTTTAGTATTTTATTCAATGCACTGTATATCATCTTCATTTGTCTTCAGTTTTGCTCTAATACCTCATAATAGTCGGGCTTTCTTTTCCCATCCAGCAAATCATCAGCCAGGTTGTTATCTGTGCTCTCCAGCATGGTAAAATTGCCAAGTCTGAAATACATTTCTCCTCTACCTGTCTGTCTCTTCCTCTTTCTTCTATCATGCACCATGATTCATCATAATTTGCTGGCTCTGTTTACATGTTTCCTCTTTTCTCCTTTAATATGTTTTTAGAGGATGAGCAAAACGCCACCCTTGGTTCCTACTGAAATTCCACCAATCTTCAAAACCTGGCTTTGGAAAGTCTGTCTCTCAGCTAGTTCCTAATTATACAAGATTATTTCTTCCTCCACACATATTCACAGTCTCTTTTTTCTCCACAGGCAGCCTAAAGTGCTTACTCAGAATTCATTGTTGTCTATGTCCCCAGCTTTTGGGCTTAAAATCTGCCAGTGTTGCTGCCGCAGAAACTGTCCTGTTTGCAGCTTCAAAGCTGATCGAGTCCTCTCAGCAATTACAGCTGTATTCTGGGTTCAGTTCAGCAGCATTGTGTTCAAGCATTGTAAAAGAAGGGCCAGAAGGGAACTGACACGACTGTATTTATACTCAAAGCTGGGAATTCTATAAATGAATTGGACTCATTGAGGGCACAATTAGAGAGTCTCAATTTGAGAGTCAATGGGAAACATTCAACTCTTACAGTCAGGGAAAGCAGTGCTTTCAAAGCCAGAAAGAAATACTTTTTGATGCAGTGCCTCAACATCAGGCACAAAACATGATTTTGCTCCTTACAAAAGATGAAGGATTTGAGCTATTCCCCAGAATACTACCCAGATAAGGATAAAATCCACAATGTTTTTATTTTAAGACACTGTCTTCTCAAACATGATGAACCACTATGAATCACTTCATCAGGTGAGGACAAAAGTCAGCATAATTAATGCAACATTTTCTTAGAAGTGGGCTGGAGATTTTGGTGCATAAAAAAAAGAGGATAGTAACTTCTACTAAATGTACTTCTACTAAATGTAACTTCTATTAAATGTAAATGTAAATGTATCCATCAAGCAAAGCAGCCTAACTTTTTACCTCTGCTCTTAGACCATCACAGCTAACAGAAAATGGCAAACTGTTCGAAGGATTTCAAAACTCTGCAGTGGTATCAGAAAGAATCCATATCATAAAAAACTTCTAACACAATGGATATTTAAGTGGCTCCTGGAGAGAAAACTGCCAGCACTTTCTCCAAATAAAATCCTTCCCCTAAAACAAGGATCCTGATTAATATGAGATAGCAATTTTTTCTGCTGTTTTAAACAATTTTATGAATGAAGACTTGATAAGAGGTGAGAAAAACAGGAAACTTGTCATTTAATAGGGAGTTAAGCAATTAGTTATTGAAGAACAAGACCATTGACTATGCATCAAAATAAACCACATACCATACAAAATACCTGACAAAACATAATCTCAAACTTCTATTTATTGTCAGAGGAAGATGATGTCATGACTTTCACTTGATTTTAGGATTTTCTTTGTAGGCATGAATTCAGAGACCACCAGTATTTAAATGCATGCATTGAACAGACAGCAGGATATATTTTAGTTGAATTTCTAGCAAAGTTCCAATGCCTGGGTGGTTGGATTTTTTTTATTTTCATTTTTGTTGGCAGAAATAAAAAAGTCACACTGAACACGTCGATGTATGTCTTACTTACTGAGAACTATTGAAACATCTGTTTTACTCCTGAATTCCGCTACCCAGCAGCACTCCAGGATTACCAGTTCAGAGGCATCAGAGCTCTGTGAAACAAAGATGGTGAAACATTAGGATTTGGAACCTGACTGGGAAGTCCTTCTGTTTGGCTGTTCACAGCTGAAGTGACATGGAGATACAAAGACAAAGCATAGAGGTCACTAGGTAGATGGATAAAGGCATTCTTTAGTTACTGATCTGTGCCATCCTACGTCAGCAAAATGAGTTACAAAAGAATTAAAATATATAATAAAAGTTATAAAATAAAAAATAAAATAAAATGTAAGAAAAAACCCTGCCGGAAACTTCAAAAAGTAACTTCAGAGGGTTTGTTTCACACTTCCAATATTAAGAAGTTTAGATAACACCTCATTCCTAAGCAAGTCAGGCAAACCCAGCTCATTCAAACTTTCATATTTTCTCATATTTTCTAGCAAGGCTGAATCAAATGTCAGATTCTATTCAAAGACTAGGATATTTTCAAGTGAACAAAATAACATGAAATTTTACAGAAGGCATTTCTCTTCAATTTTTATTTGAAAGGGTTTTCTTTATCAGCACTTGAAACTTCGAATACGGTCTCTGGCTATGCAATTCAAATGACATTAAATGATATAGACCTATTGCTGAATGCAAAAGGATACAAATTACCACTATAATTTTTTGTGAGTGCTTTGCAGACAAGATGCAAACTCTTCTAGTTAATAAGTGTAAGTCAGAAGACTGAAGCTATCAATCACTCCCTCAGGATTAATATTTTTTCCTTCAAAACTCTTATTATCCATTTTTTATCCCTACCATCTGGTAACAAATAACCCTGAGAACATGCACCCATAGACTCCCTTCATTCCAGGTTCCCAACATGAATGTCACAGAAGTCATTCTCTACTTCAGTGAGATTCTGCAGGGATTGATTAATGCAAATGCAAATGCTTGTTTTAACGCTCCTTCCTCAGGTAGTACTTTATTCCAAGTGATCCTGAAGATGGAATATTTTTCATATTGTGCAGCAATTTTACCAAAAGCCTGAACTTTAGTTTCACATATTTGCCACTTAATGAATGACTTCATAAAGTAGTTCATATTTATAGCACCTGCCTAATATGCACAAGTTTTCTTTTCTACCCCTTTGTCTGTATCTATGCTGCTTTATTTGGCCTGCCAGAACCAGACTCAAACTTTTTGCCAAGGATTTCATGTTAATTTTCAAATGGATGTCTTGATCCTGCTTTTCTCACAGAAGGACCTTTTACTTACATAGTAATACACTACCTTTCATGACCAAAACTGTAAAAATTCAATACAAGAAGACTGAAAGACAGACTAGTAACAGAACACATTTCAGAAAGTCTAAAAAGGATGTCCTTGAAAAGTATATATTTATTCTCTCCAAACCCAGTTATCAAACACATATCAACACCCAAAGGAAACAAAACGTTAAAATAAAACAGAAGAGCATGAAAAAAAGCACACTATGGTGTATTGAAATATGCCAGAATTTGAAACGAGCTGTGGTATACTAAGAAAAAAACAGACTTCTCTCAAAACCAGTTGTAAACTGATTTCTTTGAAAAATTATTCAGGCTGGGCTGATCTAAAACAAACATATTGTCATGTAGACAGAAAAACAGCCCATCTGACTATTTAAAACAAAAAAATAGAGAGAGAAGGATAAAGTTGTGAAACAATGCAGTGAGTTTTGATAGTTATCCAAGTGCTATGTTGAGAACTTTTTTATTTATAGAATCCAGCAAGTCAGTGGCCATACATGGCAACCCAGAAGCAATTTTCAAATGCTGTTTAGTGAGGTATTCTTTGAGTATCTACCAGGTCTTCATGAGCAAGATCTAAAGTCAGTTTGGGAAAGTAGGCAATAATAGTTCAACAAAACAAACAGCAGACTAATTAGGAAGAGTTTTCCACTGCAATGATCCTGGTAACTATTTTAATTCTTTACATTTCAAAGCCCCAGTAGAGTCTCCCAGATAACCCTCCCTTGAAAAGTAGATAATGCAGCCTCATTCCTTTAGGAGCTGGCTATCTTTCAGTGGAGATACAACCAAGAGGATTTTATTTTTAAAGTCAATGAAGGTCTAAGTCCATTTAACACTCAGCTGTGGCTACATAAAGCTTTTGTGTTAAAAAGAAAAAAAAAATTAAAAAATCAAATTACTCTGAACAGTTTTCCTCCTTCCATCCCCACAGAAAATTGTTCAACTGGTACATTCATACTCCAAAGATGAAAGACAGAAACATGAACAGTCCCCAGACTTAACATTCTCTCCAAAACATGTAACTGTGGTAAATGGATATATGTCAGTAGGCAAAGAAAAGCAACTCCCTGTTACAGGGCTTTCAGATGAGTCAGGTGTTTGGAAAGACAAGGGATGAGGAATCACAGCTTCTATGTAGTTTCTATAGTTGTCAGGACTGAAAGACTTGGTGTTTTGATTTGTACATGAATGATAAGTGTGTAATACAAATAAATTGGCAACCAGGCAGCAAAAATAGCTTTCAAACAATTAACGAGAATCTGTCTCAGCGCGGTCTGTCTCACAATGAAGTTGACATACAACAGTAACTGCAAACAAGAGAGCAGAAGATGATTTCAAGCTGTCTACATTTTAAGCCTGCAGATGCTGCAGCTCAGAGCCTCTTTAGAGACAAATTACTCCCTTCTGTGCACCAGTGGAAGCTGGAATGAAGCAATGCCACAGCTTCAAATGAATGTGCTTTTCCAAGATCCACAATCTAGAACACTGAGCAGAGAATATGCATTTACTTCTTCTGTATGTGAGAGACAGCAAAAGGGGAAAGAAGAAAAAGGGATGAAAGAGCATAAGGCTGCAGAAAAGAAAGCACCTGTTGCAGCAAAACATTTCCCACATCCTGACACAAACGCAAAGCAAAATATCTTCGGAATTACTGTTATGGCAGACTTTGCATCATTTAGATTAGCAGTGCTATAGTCTGTCACACAAAAAGCTAACAAGAAATTTACTTGCAAATTAAATAACAAAATTGTAATCAAGGAAAACCATTATGCGTATCTGATAAAGGATCAGCGGTATTTTTCAGCACCTGAAGAGATAAAAAAATTCTCTTATTTTAGGTGCATAACATAAGATCATCTGGACTAGCTATTAACTTATTTTTCTAGGTTTTATTTTATTAAAAGCATACATTGTAATGATGTGGTCTTCATGCATGGAAAATATGACTAAAATCAGATTTGTACCACTGTTAAGGTGTAGTATATTAGAGGGTTTTTACTCCTGCCATTGGTATTATTCAATAATTGTTATCAAAACTTACTGGATCAATCCAAATGCCAAACAGCAGCTAGACAAACTCTTACATCTTTCTCTAAGCCCTGACAAAGTCAACAGGCACTCCACCACCACCCCAGATCAGGAAATTGCTTTAAAACAGTGATTTAAGAAGACAATTAAATTATTTCTAAATCTGAATTAAATGTCTGTGAGACTGCTGTAGAAGGGTCCCCAAACCTAGAAAATTAAAGCACTGAGAAACTCTGGAAGCTGTCAAAGAGAACGTCATGTTTGAGCTATTTTTGCATTCCTATAGATCTGATGTACCCTTGTGGGAGGGAAGAAGTGCGTCATTGTGAATCAATTTTACAATAGGAGATTTGTTCCTGGAGGTGGGGCAGGGAACCTACTGGTAGAGGTATATCAAGTCAAGAACTAAGCTGACAGTTAAAATTAGAAGTGATACTCCAAGTAATTCCTTTGTGTTAAAAAAGTAAGTAGAAAAGTAAAGCTATAGCACTGTAGAAAGAACAAACACTACAGAAAGTAAAAGTTCTTCTAAATAAGACATTATTTAAAGCCTCTCCAGTCAGCTGGGTGGTGTGTGTGTGAATTGCACAATTGATTTCTTTTAAAAGCATATATTCACAAATCCGAAAAAATTAAATCAAAACCCTATAGACTAGGGATGCTACACACACCAAACCACTTGTGTTTTGTCACATCAATTATTTTCCCCAGTACTGGCAAATGAGCTCATCAGACTGATAGTAGCAGAATAATGCAGGCATGTGCACAGGTCACACTTTTGACTACGCTATAAACATTACCACCTACATTTGCTATTTTGGCGTTAGCACAGATGATGTTCATCACTACACAGATAAAGTACAGCTTTCTTATAGACTCAACAAGAAAAAAAGGAACAGGGATTATATAGGGTAATAATCATTCACAAACAGCAAAGCTAATGGTCTTAAATTTATTTCAATATATTTCTACAGCAATATGTGTCCATTTCCAAATAGAGTAAAAATTTTTTCTGATTTTGAGATATTAACAAATGACTCCATGGCAACCACAAGCATATAATTTGCAGAATTAAAACACTCCTTTAAATGATGGCAAGCAGAATTCAACAATCTGAAATCTCCTTCAATATTATGTATTCTTCTGCCATAATAATATCTCCATCCTGTGTCTATTAAGTAATGCGGAGCCTATGACCCAAGCTGTGTGATAAGGAAAAATGTGGTTGCTGGGTGTCTGATGAGGTGTTTCAATTACTCCAGGCAAGCTGTAACCTGGTAGCTCATTACAACCACCTTTACAAATTGTCAGCTCATCAAAGATGCTCAAATCATCTCTTACAAAGCATAAACTACCCACTGTGATTAAATCATCATGCAATGCTACCAGATCCCAACTTCAAGGTGACAACATAATACCACTAATCTGCATTCACTCTGCAAAATGTTGACTTACGTCACTGAATAAGTTCTGCAGAACACAAAACTACCTTTAATAGATCATTACCTTTAACAAAAGTGAATACATAAACAAAAGTGGTTTTCTTTTCACTATTAAAATGCATTAGTAATAATTATAATGGACAAATATACATTCACTTTATTCATGCCCCACATTCAACTGGTTAATCATTTCAGCTTGAAAATATCTCCAATTACCCTTCTTCCCAGAATTTAGTTATATGTAATTTAGATACTAATTATTTAAGTTTTTCAAAGTTATGTTCTGGTGCAAGACTCCAGTGA